ACCAGACTCTGTGTAGAGTACCTCTCCTTTCTCTCTCTCATTCTCCTATACACCTGTATATATTCTATCATGAAAAAAGAAGAAATAAAGTCCTAGCTCAAATACTTTTTAGTTGTGTGACCTTTGGCAAGTTGCTTACACCTCTGAGTCTCCATTTCCTTATCTGGAGGAAGAGATAAGTGCCTGCCATACAAGGATTATTGTGAGGGACAAATAAGATAATGTATATTAGGTAGTGGACAAGGACCTGGCAAACAATGTTTAATAATAACAGTTATTAACAGTAGCTCTGGTACCATTAATAAATACATTTTACTGTTCTTCACACCTGCTTTAGCTTTGGGGGATACTCCACATTCGTGGTGAAAGCTAAGCTCTTCTGTCAGCAGGTTTCGTTAGCTGAATACCTGGAGAGCAATAGCCTGGCTAGGTTAAGGTGAAGGTGATATTAAAAGATATAAATGACCTGGTGGTTAACGGAGCTGGATCCACATGGCCAGTCATGTGGTTCAAGTCCCAGCCCCAGCAGCTTGAAAAACACACTGGGTGCATGTGCGTGCATGCCTCAAATCCTGACAAGTTGGAGAAAGGGAGAAAAAGGGATTGCAGTGTGATTGTAGGAGTGTGCTTTCTCCATCTCCCCACTCCCATAAGTGTATGTGCCCTCTGGTTGGTTAAATGATCTGGGGCTTAAAGATTTTCAAGCCAGGGCCAGCAGGTGGGGTGCAGGTTGAAGCAGCTGGATCCCAAGCGGCCAACTGTGCCATTCAAGTCCTGGACCCTATGACTTGAAATCACTCCAGATGCATGTGTATTCACGCCCAGGATCCCGAGAGGAGAATGGAGGAGAAAGGATTGCAGTGTGGCCAGCCCCCGGGGGGTGATTTCTCATTTTTTTCTATTTCTCTCTGTATTTTTTCCAGCAAGCACACATGTCTTATAGCAAAACTTAAAAAAAAAAAAAAAAAGAAAAAAAAAATCAGGTCAGTGTTTCAACAACCTATCAGATAAATGTTTCTTATTATTACTATCTTCAGATTTTCAGTCCAGTTCAAATAACTGCAACCACCATTTAAGTAGCTGTTCCCTATCAGGCACTCTGCTAAGCACTAAAGATTCAGAAATGGGGACCAGCAGTTGATGTAATGGCTATGTCGCTGGACTCCCATGCAGTCGACCGCAGTTCGAGTCCCAAATCCGTTGGCTTAAACTCATGCCAGGCGTGTGTGTGTGTGTGTGTGTGTGTGTGTGTGTGCGCGCGCACCTAGGATCCCGAGAAGAGAATGGAGAAGGGACTGTGGCGTGGCCATCCCCCCCGGGGGGTGATTTCTTGTTTTCTGTCTCTCTGTCTGTCTCTGTCTTTTTGGCAAGCACACGTGCCTTATAGGGAAAACCTCTCCTCCCCCCGCCCCCCCCCAAAAAAGATTCAGAGATGTATGAGACAATTTTTTGCACAAAGAAATATCAGTTTGGCCCTCTTTTACCTATAAAATACCCCAGAATCATCTTCCCTACTCCATCTTTCCCCACTCCTTCCAGATGCCTCAATCTAGTTCTTGATAAAACCTCCCTGTGCTTTCCGCTGTTCACCTAACTTTGCCCTTCTTCAGAAGCTCTTGCACAACAAACTGTACTATTAATGTTCAACAGTCTCTGTTTAAGGCACGTGAATCTCATCTCTTCAATCAGATAAGCAACTCTCGGGCAAGAGTCTTAGTTCATTTTCTATTCCCATCACACCTGTCCTTCTTTTATTTCCTCTGTCAATATACATGATGACTGAATGAAATTTTATGAGCTTGTAGGAAATATATAATCTAAGTCATCTGGGTATGATAGGTTTGAGGCAAGTACTACTTTCCCATACCACATCACCTGACTCACTTAGGAAATCTCCTGTCTCTTTGCTTTTCACCTCTTTCTTCTATAGTGTTGACACCAGATCACTGAATTCTGCATGGAAAATGCCATCTCTATTTGTGCAGTTGGTCTTTAAAAAATCTGAATCACTATCATCCACTGGACAAGGCAGCTTCTAAGCACATTGGATAATCAACAGCCATGCAGAGGAGGAAGCCAAAAGGATTGTGCTCCTGTATCACTTTAAAAGGGAACTTTGTGTTTTATCTTTGTTTGAGTGGAGGTAGAATAATTCCTATAGCTCTACAAGAATTCTCACTTTGAAAAATATCCTGATTTTTCTGAAATTGCATATTTGGAATCTCTTTCTACCGCAGAACGCCAGAATTGTTCTTTTTTTTTAAATTTATTTTTTAAAATTTGCTATAGGGCAGGACCAGCAGATAGTGTAATGACTACGTCACTGGATTTCCATGTAGTTGACCTTGATTCAAGTCCCAGACCCAGTGGCTTAAACTCACGCTGGGCACGTGTGCGTGCGTGCCCAAAATCCAGAGAGGAGAATGGAGGAGAAGAGATTGAGGCAAGGCCATGCCTCCTGGGGGGTGATTTCTCACTTTCTGTCTCTCTGACTCTCTGTGTTTAATTTTTTTTTATATAAAAAAGAAAATTTGCTATAGGTCATTATGTGATTGTTGGAGACAGAGAGAGAGAGAGAGAGAGAATGCTCCCCCCTTCCCAGGGGAGATGGCCATGCTGCAATACCTTCTCCTCCATTTCTTTTTTTTTAAATTATTTTAATTTAATTTTATTTATTCATTCATTTATTTTAATTTGACCAGAGAGAGAGAGAATGTGTGAAAGCAAGCCGCCAGATCCAGGACTTGAACCATGGTCAGCCATGTGGGAGTATCCAGCGCCTTAACCACCATGCCACCTGCTGGTCCCCCTTCTCCTCCATTTCTTCACCCTGCTGGGATTCTGGACACACATTCACACATGTGTTTTTCAAGCCGTTGGGTCTGGGACTCAAATTGCAGAACTGGTCATGTGGGACCTAAGCCATCTTCACCACACCACTGGCTGGCCTGAGTTGTTACTCTTTTTACTGTAATGTTACTATAGGGAGTTTGGGGACTATTCCACACTGACATAGCATACAGAAGATTGTGGACATTTCAGTAGTAACATTCACCAAACTGAAGTTGTAGTTATTATACCTGAACACACCAACTTCTTTACAGTTTTGGAAAAAATGTTAAGGAGACCAAAACCTCAGTATATAGAAAAACATCCCCTACCTTTGAATACCTGTACAGATGCAGGGATAGGTGAGTAAGGCTGAGGCAGGAAGGAGGTTTGATTGTGCTTGTGGACATGCATGTGAATGGAAATCTTCCCAAAGGGAGGAAAATGCTTAATCCTTTCAATCAAACTGGTGGAAAAAGGTAATAGGCTCTTGGGCTATTTATAGACCTTAAATTGCCATGTGCTATGCATAGAGTGCTGAGCTGGTCTCATTTTTTGAGCAATTAAGATAAAGTAAAGGAGAGGCAAAGAAAATGTAATGAGAAAAAGTAATGAGAGTCAGATCATGACTATACTTTTTTTAAAAAAATAGCATTATAACTTTAGATGCCTGGAAAAATCTCCCAGCCATAGAATTAGATAAAATGGGATTCCATCTTGAAAAGAGATTGGAGATAACATGATCACTGAAGTCTGGGTGGTGAGGTGAAGAGGATTATCTGAATACTGTACTGATTTTATTTGATTTCAAGAGGTTCTCCAGTGTCACTATTGGGTGCCAAAATGTCTCAGAGCTACTGCATAAAACATGGTGTCGTCCAGTGAAACTAGTTCATAGACACGATAAACCTTCACAGAGCTCTGAAGAGATGACACAGAAATATGTCCAGGCCTGACCGTATTGCACTGTTCTCTGGGTAAAAGGGAAAGTCCTCTCCCCAAGATAGAAATTCCCACACTCCGAACTGAGAGC